TCCCTACTTTCCACGTCTGGTTTGCCCCAACATTATCTGATTGCCAACCTCTCTGGAAGGAGCTTGTATGCATGTCTGGCATCCCAGCTGCCACCCAATGAATAGAATCCCAAATCTAATAGCCAATGAGAACTGCATTCACGAGTCCCACAGGACTTTAGCAAAGTTTTTATATGGGTCCAGGAGCACTCCCTGCAGCTATACATCTGGGTTCAGTGTAGAGGTAGCAGGCAAAAAATGCTCACCTCCCAGTTTCTCCCTGGAAAGGGCTTAACTACATACTTTCCCAGCTGCTGCCTGAGGATCCACTTCTAATCAGCCTGCATCTAGGTGTTGACAGCAATTCTCCCCTTTGGAATATTGATGGGTCATGGCACACCCTCAATTACTGGGAGCCACTAAGAACAAAGTCAGGGGTACTTAACAGCTTATCAGTTGCTCTTCAAGTAGCTTGGAGATCAGAAAGTCTTGAGAGACACCAAGAGCTCAGATTGGGCTAACTGATGAGGTTTATCTCCTATATGAGACCATTCTGTCAAGACTGTGAGAGGTGGCTATTGTATCTAATGTGCAGGCACCAAGACTGAGAGTGAAGGAAAATAAACAGAGGAATATGTTCTAAAGAAAAGAACAAGAAAAATCTCCAGAAACAGATCTTCATGAAAGCGATAAGTGATTTACCTGATAGAGTTCAAAATAATGGTCATAAAGATGCCCACCAAGGTCAGGAGAGCAATTCATAAATAAAGTGAGAACTTCAAAACAGATAGAAAATATAACTACCAAACAGAATAACTGAATATTGAATAATACAATAACTAAACTGAAAAATTCAACAGAGGGGTTCATAGCAGACTCGATAAAACAGAAGAAAGGAGCAATGAACTCAAAGACAATCCAGTGGAATTCATCCAGTCAGAGCAACAAAAAGAAAAAAAGAGTGAACATATCTCAGGAGACCTGAGACACCATCAAGTGGACCAATATACACATTATAGAGGTCCCAGGAGAAGAGAGAGAGAAAGGAGCAGAAAGCTTATTCAAAGAAATAATGGCTTAAAAGTTCCCTAACTTGGAGGAAAAAAAAACAGACATCCAGATAAAGGAAACTCAAAGAGTACCAAATAAGATGAACCTATACTGACACACATTATGATTAAATTGTCAAAAGTTAAAGGCAAGGAGACTTAAAAGCAACAAGAGAAAAGCAACTTGTTACCTACAAGAGAACCCCCATAAGACTACAAGTAGATTTTTCAGCAGAAACTTTACAGGCCAGAAACAAGTGGGATGATATATTCAAAGTGCTGAAAGAAAAAACTGCCAACCAAGAATACTATATGCAGCAAAGTTGTTCTTCAGAATTGAAGGATAGAATTTTCCAAACAAACAAAAGCTGAAGTTTATCACCACTAGATCAGCCTTACAAGAAATGCTAAAGGGAGTTTTTCAAGCTGAAATGAAAGCTACTAATAAGCTATTTAGTAACATGAGAACATATGAAAGTATAAAATTCACTGACAAAGGTAAAATATAGAGTTAAATTCAGAATACGCTAATATTGTAATAGTGGTGGGTAAGTCACTTATAAAGACAACAGTATATAAAATATACTTTATTGTAAAATATAACTACAATAATTTATTAATGGACACACATGAAAAAGACAAAACATCAAAAATACAAAATGTAGGGGGAGTGTAAAAGCGTAGACTTTTTGTACGTGAATATATATCCAAAGAAAACGAAATCAGTCTCTTGAAGAGATATTTGCACTCCCGTGTTCATTGCAGCAATATTCACAATAGACAAGATATGGAAACAACCTAAGGGTCCACCAACAGGTGAATGGATAAAGATGTGGCATATATATACAATGGAATATTATTCAGCCACAAGAAAGAGGGAAATCCTGCCACTTTGTGACAACATGGATAGACTCTGAGGGCATTATGCTAAGTGAAATAAGCCAAAGACAAATACTGTATGATGTCACTTATATGTGGAATCTAAAAAAATCAAACTCATAGAAACAAAGTAAAATGGTGATTGCCAGGGGCTGGGGGGTGGGGGAAATGGGGAGATACTGGTCACAAGGCACAAACTTTCAGTTGTAAGATTAATACATTCTGGTGATTTAATGTAGAGCATAGTGATTATAATTAACCATAATTATATACTTGAAAGTTGCTAAGAGAGTACATTTTTAATGTTCTCGCCCCCAACCCAAATGGTATGTCACAGGTGGAGGTGTTAGCTAATGCTATGGTGGTAATAATTCTGCAATATATAACTGCATCAAATCAACACTGAACACCTTAAATTTACACAATGTTACTATGCCAATTACAACTCAATAAAACTTCATACAATTTTAATGTAACTCTATGTTAAAAAATCTTCTAACTGGCACCACTGTATATTTCCAAGTACCCTAATCCAATGGAGAAGTAAGATGGACATTACATAATGATTTTGTCTTTACTTTTTGATGGCCACTCATTAAAGTGCTATTTCACATAGCTCTGCTGGTGACTGGATGTATAGTAGTCATAGAATTACCCACTCATGTGCTCCAAAGGTGGATGTCCACTTTATAAACAAGACACTCTCGATGTGTGTGTATACACAGAAGTGTTTCTCAAGGAGTGGGTTCCGGCCCAGCAGCACTAGTGTCACCTGGAAACTTAGAAATGCAAATTTCCCACCCCATTGCAGACTTAATACTTAGAAACTCAGTGGAGCCCAGCAATCGGTGTTTTAATAAGCCCCCCAGGGGATTCTGGTGCACACTAAATTTTCAAACCACTGAATTAAATCATCAGTACTCAAAGATGAAGTAAATTACATGAATGAGAAAACATTAACAAGTAAAGGTTAACTCTGAGTTAACCTGGTGCAAAAGTCCACAAGTCAACTCCAGGGGCAGCTATATGGGCGCACAGGGCCTTGGCAGTGCAGACCCCCACACTGAATGGAATGAGATGGGACTTGAAAACTGGTTGAGTTTCAAGTAGGAGATGGTTCTAACAACAGTGACCAGTGGAGACCAGCCACTACTGAATCTAGTCTGTGCATATATTGTGTTCTCTTTGACCAAACTTGACTGGTTGCATGTGAGTGACAACTGCTTGCAAGGACATGTTCAGTGATGTGCCAATCCAGGCATGTTTTCTTACAAAGACCATGTGTCACAATCAGCTGAAAACCAATGAATGCGGCATCACTGACAGCATCATTCACGTAAGTCAGACAGATCACAGTAGGAAATGCTTTTATTCTTTAAAAGCAATTGTTTTAAGAAAAAGGAATCAGAATTGTAGTTGTTGGTAACCACACTGGCCATTTTTAGAGTAGTACATGCTATTAGGAAAAAGCAATTTTTTTTTCTGAGATGCCCCTTGCTGGATAATCTGCATCTATTCTATAACAACATGAACAATACACACGATGAGCATGTTTAGTGAGCAAGACTCAGACTCTCAATGGGCAAGAGCCGTGGCTTCCTCTAAACACTTTTCTTGGCTGTAGATGACCAAATAATTTAATTACACTTTTTCAGAGCTTAGAAAGGCTAACCACCTAGTCATGCCAGAGCTCAACAAACCAGCATTAATAATCACCAAAAAAAGGCACTTTAAAATACATTTGACAAGGAGTGACACTAATGCAATGAGGACTGGTCTAAGCCCTGCACTAAACTTTGTTAAAGTTCATATGGACAGTGTGTTCTGTCTCCACATGGATGTGTGTGCACGTATAAATATATGTATGTATGCGCATATTACCAACATCCATATACATGTATCTATCTATCTCCATAAGTCTCTGGGGAGGGAAAAGCCATTTCTGTTTCATTTAATAGTACACAAAAATTCTAGTCACTTTACTTGGAACAAAGAATGAGAGGATTGGCAAATTAATTCAAAAAAGTACCCTACAACACCTTTCTACTGACAAAAACAGCAGTAAAATAAATACTCAGATCTTTTCTAGGTCATCAACTATTAAAATAATAAAATACAAAATTATTAAAAGTTTATTCCATTGGAGGGAAAAGGGTGGACATTTTTGGTACTGTAAGTCTCACACACATTCATATTGCTTAGGTTGAAGAGAACATAATGAACAGAGGAAATTTCTTCCACAAATTCCTTCGTTTCAGTACCCGAGTTTCACTGATGTTGTGTTATTCCACTTGGCTTAACATATAAACAAAGTTTTGTATAAATATATTTCTTTGATCTCTAAATTCTCAAGATATTTGCGCAGAGCACTAAAAGTAATTAGAGGATTTTTGTGAAATAAACACAACTGGCCATATACCAGTCTACTGCTTACCCCAGGCTTGGGTATTCTGGCTCGAGGTTTTGACAGACAGAACCAATCTGTGTCAGAGGTGGACAAAAGGCTTACTTGTCCTTCCCACGAACAGGGGTATAGACATGTTCTCATTCTTAGGATATGAAAACACAATTAGTAATGGCATTTAAAGTTTACTTACTAACTGCATAATGTCTGAGAACAAAAATCAAAGCAATTTTTGAAAGGTTGAGTCAGACTCTGGGCACTTCCGTTTTTTAGCTGCTGGCTCTTCAGTCTTGTGTGATTCTAAAGTGCTGGTGCTGGATTTGAGACTGGGGTCTGCTTTAAGGTTGTCCATGGCAACAGTGAAGCCTGAGAGAAGGTACCCCCCACCTCCACTCATCAGTAGTTTGGGATGACTTCGATCTGGCAAAACCTAATCAAGACAGAAAGACAGACATTCATGTTTTCCTAAGCAGATAAAGCCATGTTACCAATACACATGCCAGAAATGAGAATTTAAACGACACAGATTCGCCTGAAGGAGACCAATTTAATCAGACCAATTCCTAAGGAGGTCCATCTTTCACATGACAGTGCAGATAAAAGCGTAGAAATTGGTTTAACTGATTTTCTTTTGAAATATAAAACTGAAACCATTTCTCTTAAACCTGAAGCAAGTTTCTGGTGGTGAAAGGGCAACTGGTTTGTGTAGTCTTCTGGGCCTGGTTTTCTCCCTCTTTCTTCATGGTCAACAGTGGAGCTGGGTCCATGGAGAAGTAGCTACTGGACATACATCCAGAGCCTTCCTTCTCCAGCACTCCATTAATTCTGTCAAAAATTCTTCTCTCCTGTTCCCAGAGCTAAATAAGAAGACTACCATGAAGCACAGGGTTTCCCAGATCTGCAGAGTGTCCTGGATTAAGTAAGATGTCCAGGAAGCAGGGCAGGGCCTGTGACAGGTGCACCCCCAGATCTCTAAGAGGGAACTGGCTGTGAGCTGAAACAATAGAATGCCTCTAGCTGCTGCTTCTTTGAGATTCACACCCAGGGAGGCTATTCCAAGTTGATAACTGAGCATGGGTACCACAACTGGACCATTTCTGTCCAACACAGGACTCCTTTAATGGGCAATTTTTGCTCTGCGGTTCCTCGTCATCCTGGCTGAGACTTTCTCAGAGCAGCACTGCACGCTCTTTCTCCCCTCCTTCCTCCCACTTGTCACAGGCAACAGACCTGTATCACCGTCTGACAGCTCTCCCTGCCTAATCCTGCTCTCTCTTGTCTTATCTTTCGCAGGCATTTCTCTTACACTTTTAATTCTGTCTTCGCATATATGTTCCAGAGGACCTGAACTGACAAGGAGCCCACCAGGAACTCTCGAACATTTGCTGCGAAGATACCCCAGCAGAAAGGAAAGGGTCACTTTCTCATTAGCCTAGGGATTTTGCTATTATCACTTATTCCCTCTACAGGGCCTCAAGGCCTTGGGGAAACACGAACCATAGTCATTTGCATTTTAAATGTCTCTGGACTCGGGTATCTGATTAATAGACCATGACGTGAAAAAAGAAAAAAGGGTCCGGAAAGGTCAGGGCACTTTCTCTGAGTTATAGATGTGAAACTCCTCCATCTCTATAGATAGTAACAGGGAGATCCCTATTTAACAGCTTCTGGCACTACTGTGCAGAGCCAGCGACCCAGGAGAGCAGCTCCCAGGGACTGGCTGTGAGAACACGTACCTGGTAATTTCTGAGCCAGGTTTCAGACAGCCTGAGATTGATGACCCCTCCTCTTTCCCGCAGTTTTGTGTAGCATTCCAACAGAGGCTAAAGGCATAAACAGAGTTCTGTTAATAATTATTTTGAGGGTACAATTTGAGAATCAACATTCAGATGCAAGAATTCCTATCCACTCTGTTTCAGTATTACCTCTTTATATTGACAGTAGACCACGAACGGCCTTGAAGGAGCCACAAAGTCGAGCAAAGACAGCAGCAGTGGAGTGGGATGGAAACGACTAGCTACAATTAAACTGCAAGGAAAATGTCAGACAAATTATTTCTCTATGTCCCCAAAGCAGAGCATAGGTTTTAAAATATCACGTATTTATTTGCATGACTCACACAAGGAAGCACTTTCAATACAACATTCTAGAGATTCCAACAATAAAACCATGAGCTATTACTTTCTAGGAAACACAAACTGGATTATAAACTCTCATGGTGATTGGCAACTCTAAGCAGCCAACTTAGAGTTGGCAACTCTAATGACAGTCTTGATTTAAAAAAAAAATTCTGGAAGAAAATCCAACATTGTAATACTGGCTTTGCAGATACCTGAATCTGCCTTTCCTGTCAGGTTTTCCTTACCCCATGCCCTTAGTCAGTATCACATCAACTGGAATGCCCCCCAACCTGCACCTAGCGGGACTACACAGCCCAACTTGATGTGCCATCATTGAAGAAATTTCAATTTCTTCTAAAACTCTGGAACCAGCATAATCAATTTCCCATCTCTGCCAGATGCAGCCTCCTTTCTTTAAAAACCCAAGACAGAATCATCATGTTTGCCCTCACTACAACCAAAACAGACAAGCAGACAGAGAATGCTAATCTGCTTGAAGCAGAGCCCACGAGCACAAAGATGTCGCCTGTGTTCTTTCATCAACACACCCATCTGCGTTTCTTTCACTCAGCAGAGCAGCAGCCTCTAAATGTCTTTTCTTCTGCTCTTCTTGTCTCCTCTGCTTTTCCTGAATCTTCAAGAAGAAAAATAAGATACCAACATACTGAGGTCATTCAGTCGTGTTTATGGAAACACTGGTCTGTCAAAACATTTTAACAATATTTATCAACTTGGACTAAGGCAACAGAAGGAGATCATTTATAAGGAAGCTGAAAACACATAAGAGAGCCCTTTGGTTATAAAAACCACCATGCAGCCACCTATACAATGCGTCTGTATCCTAAAGCTCCATCCCCAAAATTAAATCACACGTGTGTACACGCACACACACTTTTTCTCTGTCTGTTTTGATATTTGTTATCTTGGGAGCTGATGCTCCAAAGCCAAATCAAATCTCAGGGCTTACATGAAGTTAAATGAAGCCTGAGGAAGATACTGAGGGTAGTGGGAACTCTTAACATTCTTACATAATCCTTTTTGCTTCCTCTCTCTTTAGGCTCCTTATAGTCTGGATCTTGAGAGACAATTTCCATTGTTTCTTGTTCTTCTGGGTGATTGCTCTCTGGGGCTTCTGGCATGCTGTCTTCGTTCTCTTGTTCTGAAGTCTGTTTTTCCTCCAGTGTGCCATTACTTCCTTCAACCGAAGCACTGTCTTTTGGCTCTGAAGATAACATCTCAGCAGAAAATGTTCCATTTAAGAGACTGTCCACTTGGTTGAGGGGGAATTCATAAAGACCACTGAGGAAAGATTTTGGAAATCCAAAACATGCTGTTGCTGCCCGAACAGGTCCACCTCCAGGGTACAGCTGAATAATGGAGCCAAAACCTGAACAGACAAAAGAAACAAATATCTGCTTAATGGAGGTGGCTCTAGACTATGCAACCCTCGGGGTACTACACAGTAAGGAGACTGAAGGTCTTTCTGCTTTACGCTGTTCAGAGGTTGAAGGTGATGCAGCTCCTCTGGGGGTCCATCTGGAGTCCATGCATATTCCCAATGCAGGTAACAGAATTCCAAACAGGTATACAAGAAGTCTTAAAGAAGTGTACCCCCCTTGACACTACAGTAAAACCCTGTGATCATACAAATTTTGTATGTCACATGTTGGTGATTGGTTCTCAGCATCCCCCAAGTCCAATCTTTAAACAGGGCAATTAGAAGTTCTTATCTTCAACAGGGTCATAAGAACGGCAGACAAATCAGGCTGTGTTGTACTCTTCTAGTACAGAATACATCCCTAGTATTCTTCCCACCCTATACTCTCAATTCAGGCCAATAAAATGAGCACCAGCTATCCAAGAGTTTAACTGAAATCATGGTCCTGGAGGTCCTAGCCAGTCACACCCTTAAGAACCGTCCCCACTGACACAGAAGCTGGAAAGGACACCGTGTCGGGAGTGCCAGCACATCTCAGGCTGGGAGATGTGGGCTATGGAGGAAGGTCCCAGAGACTGGTGCAGACACAGCCAAGTCATTTCATTCGCTTCCAGTAACTCAACCTCACTTTCCATGAGTTTGAGTTTTTTAGAGCCCTCGACTCAAATCGTGGTAGGGTTTTAATGAACTTGAAAACGTTAAATCTTACCTCCCATTCGTTCCATCATTGCACCCAGCACCAAGCCTGCACATGTTTCCATCACAATCATTTTATTGCCAGCACGGATATTTCCCAACGTCAGCATCTGGGCTAGTGTATCGTATCTCATGTGACTAAGGAAAAAAAATGATTCATTCATTTATATCTAAGCGAAGTCTGCTATTTTAATCATAATTTTTCAAGTTTTGTTTCTTTCATAAAAATGATGTTGATAAGATTATCGATTGCTTTGGAGGCAATAGTAAAAAAGGACTTACAATTTATGAAGTAGGAGGACACTTTATGCAGATGAGCAAGATTTTCATTTTACTTAAAATCATGACTTTCTTAAAGATATACTTTCCCCCAATTATACTTTTGAAAGGAAACAAAGCGTACTTAATTTTTCCAGGTTCTCTTGCATAATACATAACTGAAAGAATGCGGGTGGATGGCTTCACAACAGTAATCATGGCTTCATATCTGGGGGAAGGAAAAGCAGAACATCAATTTTAAAAAGCTAGTTTAAAAATATTTTATTTTTAATAATATATTTTATAAATCTATAAAAAGATTTTATATTTTCATCCTTTTAAAAACAAAAATTACTTACTTCTTTTTCTTCTTTTTTATATATTTATCTTGAGCAAATTCTGTCTTGTCTCGGAATGTTGTACTATTTTCAATTAATTGCTGAACTATTTCCTATAAGAAAAGGAGCAAGCAGATTTCCTGAAACTTTATTTTCACAGCACAGATAACTTCAAAGGTTTCTTACCCAAGAATGTATCCAAAGGTCTGATTCTCCAGGCCCTTTTCCACAGAAGTCCAAATGGGTGAACTTTGTATTTTTATACTCTATCTAAAATTTGTATTAAAATGTAAGTACTTTAAACTCCATTTAAATCACAGTAAAAGAACAGACATATACAGTAAAGGGAGAAAAGAGGTAAAGAAAACTGTCAGTCCTGAAGACACTGGCTGAAAACATTACTGAAAATGAACAAACTTAAGCTCTGAGATGAACTAAGTTATCAAATTCCCTTTTGCTAACACTATTAGTAATGCCATCCACTTACATTCCTGCCTATAAGAAACAAAATCTTTGATATACTGAATTGCATATACACTTCAAGCTATTTTTAACAGAAGTGTACAGTATTTTTACATTTTACCTTAGGAGAAGTCTGCTTTAAAATGCAAGCAATTTCCTAAATACCAAATGAAAACAAAACAAAAAATCCTTTGAATTTTACCTCGCCTTTAATGCCTTTGTCCTTTAAAGCTTTTATGTCATCTTGAGTAAGTTTCTGAGATTTCCCATCATCAATTATATTTCGATTATCAGTGCCCGCTTCTTTGGTCTCTAAGGAAGAAAATTGCTCTATGACATGTATGATCTGAAATTATTTAAAAATCTTTCCTATTCTAAGTTCGTATCCACATCCAGCCCATCAGCCACTTAAATCTGGCCTTCCAGTTCCACTGCCCCCACCCCAATCCACTATCCTTTCTTGTCACGACTACTCCAAGCCACTCACTCATATTCTTGTTCCCACTCTTGTCCCCTTAAAATCTACGTGACACCAAAGTTCTCTTTTTTTTTTTTTTTTTTTGCAGTGCGTGGGCCTCTCACTGTTGTGGCCTCTCCCATTGAGGAGCACAGGCTCCGGACGCGCAGGCTCAGCAGCCATGGCTCACGGGCCCAGCCGCTCCGCGGCATGTGGGATCCTCCCAGACCGGGGCACGAACCCGTGTCCCCTGCATCGGCAGGCGGACTCTCAACCACTGCACCACCAGGGAAGCCCCCAAAGTTCTCTTTTTAAAATGCAAATTGGCTCATCTATTCCAACGCACAAAACCACAGTGGCTTCCAGTAGCAATTCAAAGACAACCAGCAAGGTTGTATATGACCTGGACCCTGGCTACCTTTCCAGGGCTCATTTCTCAACCCCTGTACTCAGCCACATTGCCCTTCTTTCTGTTCCTTAGACACAGCAGCATGGTCTCAATGCAGGGCTTTGGCACTTGCTGCTCCCTCTGTCTGGAATGCTCTTGTGACATCTCCAAGTGGGTGGATCCTTTCCATCACTCAGGGCTGAGCTCACCATCTCAGCCAAGTTTCACATCTTTCAATCAGCCTTCAGTACACCTCCCTGCTCTATCATCTGCACAGCACATATCACCATCTGAAATTATGCTGTTTGCTTATTTTTGGTGTTCCCCACTGCTAAATAAATTTTATGGGATAGTCTATCTAAGGAACTGCTGAAATTGCACTGCTTAATCATGTCTAGAACATATCTGGTGCTTAATAAAACCATGAATGTTGATTTAAAAGTATTTAATAAATTGGTTTGAACCAGAACTTCAATAGTGTTTTAATTATTTAATTTTAATAATTAAGTATTTTAATTTTATTAATAAAATATTTAAGCACATTTATTTTGATAAAAATTTAAGTATTTAATTTTCATTAACAATACTACTAAAATTATGGGGTCGTTACTCTCACAGGCAAGGCACTGTTAAGAACTTCTTTGTGAGAAGACAACTACACCTTGGGCATTAAACGTGTTTATGGCCCTATTTTACCGACGAGAACATAAAACTTAGAGAAACCAAATAACTAGGTCAAGGTTATAAAGTAAGTGATGAAGCTGGAACTTAAACCTAGCCAGTTGAATTCAAAGCCAGACCTCTTATCCTTACCCTATATGCAAACTACCTCAAGAGCTGGTAATTTCTAGACACCAACAGGGCTCCACACCCACTCTTAAAATGAAGCTGCAAGGATTCATGGCATCAAATACCTGGCCCAAGGTCGAAGAGCTGGTTAATGATGGGCAGGAGTCAGAACCCAGGTATCTCAAAGCCAAAGGCAGACCCTAATGCATTCCACCAAGCTACAGTTCTTAGATTATGAGTTTAGATTTCTCTGGGGACAGCCTGGGCTAGCATTCTAGAATTAATTCGAGTTGACAGGTTTCTGAGTAGCCAGCTGAAGAGCAATTATTTCATACATCCTAAGTAGTACAGTGCACCTGAAGTAGGCTCTTCCTTCTTCTTCTTAGGCTGAAGACTTCCTCCACTGGTCACTTCAAATGTGGTTCCATAACTATGGCCAATGATGTTATCCAGATAGAACCACTGTTTTTCAAAAGTTACTTTTCTGGGGAAGAAATGCAATCAATTAGCTGAATCTCATTTGTATTCAGTATAGGAAAGATTTGTTCAATCTAGGTTATTTCATAATCAGTCTCCCTAAAGGATGATTAGCAGCATTATCTCTGACCATGAACCGACAAATGAACTAAAGAGGATTGGGTTGGGGTCAGAAACACAAAACACTGCACAAAATTAATAAAGAAGCCACAAAAACACTGAATTTGGAATGAGAAACAAGGACAGAAGACATTGCTCTTTTGAAGCATTGGTCTGGCTCCAACTTGCACTGTCTGACATGATGTCCAAACTCGCAGACTTTGGATTTCTTGAGTAGCCACTGAGACACACACTGTGACGCCTCTTCTAACTTACACAAGAAAATCTCAAAACTGAACAATCATTGAGATGACAGGGATTTAACAAATTCCCTGGCCTAACTGGCCATTTTCTTTGAAAATCATCCAGTAAAAGCAAATGATATTTACATATGAACATTATTGACAATCTACACATTTGTAAAGAGTGCCTAACACTGATGAGGCTCTACTGAGGCCCAGGCAATCTTAGCTTTTCCCATTACCCAGATTTTTATCTTCTTAACAATTTAAAAGGGAAATCCCACAAAAACAAAAAACTTTCCTTTCAAAAGACAAAAACTGACACCCACTGAGTGTCGATCGGGGGTTAGGTAGTATGTGCCAGGTGTTTCATACTTTTTTATTTAATTCTCAATTAAGTAATCCTAGGACACAGCTCTTTCCAGATTAGCAAACTTGAAACTGAGGGGAAAGTGTCTTGCCCAAGATTCAGCTACACAGTAGGAGTTGGGATTCAAATCCAAGTCTGCCTGACTTAAAAACCTGGTTCTTTCCACTGCACCACACGGTCTATCCAGCAAAGAACAAATGGATCTCAGGAAGCCCTGCTTAGCTTCAGGACATGGCCCATATCAACAGAACTCTGAATTCTGAAAGATGTACACTGGTTAATTTTCTTTATGTCCCATCCTACATCTTCTCTTTCTTTCTCTGTGCCCCAAGAGGCCAACCATGACAGAATGCACAGACCGCATCACACAGGCTCCCTTGCTGAAGGCTTTCCACAATTCTAGACCCTTGGATGCATCACCAGTCTCTACTGGTTCTCTAAACCTTGTCACATCTCTGTATGTGTATGTGTCACATCTTCATTAAGTCTCCTTACTTGAACCACCTGAGTGAATTTCTCCAAGATCCTAAGTATCCAGACAGGGCCAATTCTTGCTCTTTGCTGGGTCCTCAGTGATTAACACATAACAGACACTCTAAATATATGCTGACATGAATCCCCTCAGAGAAGCTGAAACTCAGCTCAGCCCAGATGTGTACCCTCTCCCACCTCATCCTTTGAGTAGCCCAGTGCTAGCAAAACACTGTGTCTGAGCTGGGTTGGGTTTACCCCCTGGCAGCTGGTCTGATAAGAAGGGTGTGTCACTCAAACTGACAGGCCTGACAAGAGGTCACTGCCCTAGTCAGGAAAGTAGGACCCAGTCAGAAAGACATGGAGCCACACCTTCCTTGGGGAAGAGGGGGATGTGCAGAGTCTGCTCACAGAGGCAGGACTGCTTCTACCTAACCAGATGAGTGCAGCCCTGAGGAAAG